AAGAAAACAAAACAAACAAAACACAGAGGTGATAATTATAATAAGTTTATATGTAGTCTTATCCATACCTCAGCTGCATTGTGATTGGCTTGTAAATGTCACAACTGCGGAAAACTTCATTGATTTACAATATGATCCTCCTTTCCCCTTACCTGCTTATACATATATTTACATAATAATAATAATAATAATAATAATAATAATATATAATAATAATAATAATGGTTGCCTCGTGTAACGGGAGGTACGTTATCCCAAGGGCCACCCTAGTCGTGAATTTGTTTAAAATTTAAAAGCTATGTATCACATAACCACACCTGAGTTAACAGCGGCTGCATGACTCAGTGTCCAGGAATACCACCTTTCACATATCAGTTGAGACATTCTTGCAACTGTTGACAAGTTTCATAACCGAATGACAGAACACATATCAGATGACAATCCTAAAATAACTGTTCGTTCATGCTTAACGGAAGTGAATGACGCAAGTTATGAAGTTGACAAACGTGAACAATAAACCGACGATCTACATATGGTTGAGAATGTAACAATTGGAGGAATGACATGCCACCAGCAGTTATTTTAGATTGTCATTCGATATGTGTTCTGTCATTCGGTTATGAAATTTTCAAATGGTTAATAGCAACAATGTGTGGTCTGAAAGACCGGACAACTCGCTAACTACATTGGCGAACCAATAATGCAATTTACAATAAACTCTATATACCTTACAATATATAGAGGGACAAAGAACAGAATTAGATATGTACAAAAATATCTCCTATTATACATAGAGGGGGAAGGGGTGGTAAGCGGTACAGTCAGCCCAATGGTGCTTACGGCCCCGCTGGGCTAATACTGCTATTAAATTTTTCGCCAACTTAATATAAATGGGGCTATCAGATACGTTTATATATATATATATATATATGTATATATATATATATATATATATATATATTACATGAATTCAATATACAACAGCACCTCACTAGTGAGTGTCTAATGTCTATTTTTTGCTTTCTCCCGGTATATCATAAGGTAGATATTTTATTAATATATAAAATTATTCTCTCCTTCCCCCTTTATTTCCTAAAGCATAATATTTAATATAAATTGAATTTTCTATATCTTCTCTTGCTATATATCATATTGCAACTTATAGCACTCATCTGTAGCATTATAGGTAATACCGCCTGGGTTTATCATTTTTGGCTGCTAAATTTAGAAAAATACTGTCGTCGTGAGCTCATATCAAAGATAGATCTCATAATCATGCCGAATATCCGGGGTCGGCGCCAACTGTCCGGGTTCGATGTTAAATCCTAGCTCAATTTTGGTTTCTAATTCAAGAGGAAGAAGACAGTAGAGACTCTCTCAAAGACGGATCAATTATTTTGAGAAATAATTCTACGGTTTCTTTATTCATACGAAGTTAATTGATTGCTGGATCAGTTTTAAATTTGATGTTGCATCTAATTTAATTAGTAGATGAACTGAAAAGGACACTCGAATGTAGATAACACTAACAAGATGAATGAGCGACAAATAGATTGTGACAGTTTATCATTCACTGAAATCTATTACAGATAGTCAACGTGGGTTTTATATATTAACTTTCTTTTAATATGCTAATGAATTCCAATAAACTGATGAATGACTTTTGAAAGTCACCTTTAGCATAATATTCCAAGCAATTAGACAAGTGAATCATCACATCTCCAGCGTATCAAGCACCAGACAACAGAGAGCCATTAGCGAGCGAGATAAGCTGCTGAACCTCCATACGCCGTCGGCTTCCATCTCGTCTTCAAATTGCCTCATCACGGACGCCTGCAGTAATCTCTTATTACCTTGGAGGTCGCCTTAATGCTGTGTTGTATTAGCTTGGCATTATTCACTTCTGTAGCAATCTGGCTCGATATTACTGTGGTCGCCTGGCTTATGTAGTACCTTAAGAATACCTCAGTTTAATTCACCTTAAAAGATTAGTCAACCTAATGTTAACCAACCTAATAGCAAACCAAGTCTAACATAACATAACATAACAACCTAACCTAAACTAATAGCAAATCCCCCACGTAGCGTTGGGGTGTTTAATCGATAGGTGAAATAATTTGGGTGGGACGGTGATTGAATTATTGAACTAACTGCACTTGTATTACCCATTACTTAAGTGGCTTTATCGAAATCACTCCTTTCATGAATGTATACTTAATAAGAAGTGCTTACTGAGCAAGTACTATTTTCGAAAAAAAGAAATATCTCGTAACCAATTACAATGTTCCATATCTCTAGAGTATAAGTACTTTCCTGAACATTCGAATAAGCAGTGGTTTTACGTCTGCCAATACAATGGTGACAAAGTGTGGTAAATTAAAGTCAGCAAATAGAAAGTCATAGCACCCTTTTCCCTCATGCCGCTCTTCAGATGATGATGATTTCTTCTTCAAGCCTGTTAAGTCTCAGCAATGTGCAGGGAAGAAAAGTAGCTTCGTAACTGACTAACACTGTTAACATCAGTATGGAGATCTGAATTTTTTTCCGTCACTTCTGGGACTTAATCCATATGGCTGAATACTCATTCTTGCCCCGCTGCTGTAAACAGTAGTAGGTATTGAGCGGCTACCAAACAGGGAGGTACTACGCACTGGGAAGATATTGGAAGTATAATGTGTTGTCTAATAGGTAGACCCTGCTGCCATATGGCATCACAGAGGTAATGACAGAATCCCAGGTTGTTGATCTGGCTTTCTGCCTCATTTACACACAATTGCAGGGTCTCAATTGTTCTCTTACTGACATCACAACATACCTTATTATTTACTCACTATTGATTTTTTAATTTTTGCATTTCTTTATGGGGTTTCTTTTATTATTATCATTACTGTTATTATTAGATGTTATTATTATTATTATTATCATTATTTTATTTTAATTTTTGTGTTTTTGTATTATAAATTTTATTTACCATAGTTATTTTATTTTGTTTGGAATTTTTTATTTTTTATTAAATTTTTATTTAATATGAATTATTAATATTATTATTATTATTATTATTAATTATTATTACATTTCCTTTAGAATACACTGAAATTTATTGGGTCAGTGACCTGTGCTTGGGTGGGCTAATCCCCAGAAAAAGAAAAACAAATGTTCCCGGTGTTGCTGGGCTAATATTCAGTCAGTGAGAGCCAGGATTGATGTTATACGCTGATGATCAACATTTACTGGAGAGTTAAAAATGTTATGATATAAATATGATCCAAATGACATCTATGAGCCGCTATTGATAATTGTATTATCCTATATTCAATGTGTTAACAAAACTTACCTTTCTACCTGTTTTGTTGTTTATATTTAAATGATATATTTGAAAAACTACTTTCTTGCATTTCAGTGCTTAAGTACATAATGAATTAGTAACTTTGCTCTAAATCGGGATGCGGCCCACCTGGCTTTGAGGGTGCGGCCGTCTGAGATTTTTTTGACAAAATATTTTCACCTTAATGCTTTACAAACAAGTAGGCTGAACTGCCCTGAATTCGATGAAATAACAATTTTGATGATTGCAAAAGCTATTTGGTGGAAATGGTAACAATTTCCAGAATAATTTACAGATTTTGATGAATATGAATCTTTTAAGCTTCTGCTGCTGCGTTTTGGTCAAACTTCAGGAATGGTTTGAAAATCAAGCATCTGCCTTATCAGTCTAGTTCAGGGCCATACGCAAGAACTGCCGTCATGTACACGTTGCTATATGGTATCCGGCGGTCGTGAGGGCCCCGATAAAGAACTTTGCCGTCGTGTACACGATGCTTTGGTACCTAACTGGCCGTAATACGATGAAAGAAAAAGATTACCGATTATTCAGAATGGCCATGGTGGTTCCCGATGCGTCGGGTGTTGTTACTACGTTATCGTGGTGTAGTCAGGTGTACCAACTGGCGGATGACTGGAGGTTGGTGCGCTGAGACCATCAAAAACGTTGTCAGCGGCACTGAACGTTTACTCGTGCCGCACCATTTACCAGCATAAAAAATTGAATCCCAACTAGGTGCGCCTCATTTCCCTATTTTCTTGGATGTAAGCCAATTCTGGGTGAAACACGACCACTTACAGTGAATATAGGTAAATAAAACCATTGGCTACAACCAGAAGAACGTAGGGAGTAGAGTGAAGTATATGTGTTACTTTCTTCTTTGTCATATTATCTAACAATATAGTAATAAGTTTGTCTCAAAATTGGGGTTCAGTGAATTAATAATAAAAAAATTATGGCCTGTTCTGTGGATGAAGTAAGTAGAATATGCAAAAGTATTGGGCATTATGTACTAAGACAGTTATGAACACACTGTACAGATGAATTAGGATAAAATATTGACAAATATCACCTGTTAGTTGTCTATCAAACAGGAAATTATCTTTGTGCACCAAAAATCTTTACCTCATATTATACAAGTATAAGGACCAGTTATGTACAAGATATGAAACCTAGAATAATGTTTTTCTACTTGTCTCCACCTGATTATATTATATATTAAACTGTTATTATTTTGTGTCCTAATCATCACTACATATAACAACATCCACATATAAGCATCATCCACCATCTACATATACTTTCCACCAAGCATCTACATATAACACCTACATCATCACTGGGTTCCAAGTGTTCCTAGAGAGGCAGTGATGGTAGGGAAACACCAGGTAACACTGAAGTCATTATTAACGGATAGGAGAAATACCAGCCAATTGGAATACCTACATGTGCCAGGCACGCCCTGAAGTCAGACTGAGACTGCCTTGCCATATGGCAGCCTCAGGGCAATGTTATACCTGCTACGTGCAGTGTTGCCCGTAATTACATACTCTCATCTTTCTCGGCACAGTAACTTATTTACAAAGGTTGCTACTCGGCACAGTAGCATAGATGCACAACCTACATCTCCCTCCCTCCTCCACGCTCATAGTCTTTGTCTTGAGCCACCTTGTCTAACGTGTCATCGTCGGGTCCTGGACGCGGACAAGACTTAATCTCAGTGGCTGAAGAGGGGCACGGTCGTCGCCTACCGAGCCTTGGCGTTCTAGACACGTGTGGCAGTAGCGGTCGCAGCTCTGGCTCTGGTCTGCCACTCATGCCAAAGGCAGCAGCGTGCAGAGACATAAGAGCGGAAGGGTGACCATACAGGATCTGGGCAGGGGAGCGTCACTGTGTGGGTGGGAGTGGGCGGGTTCTGGGCAGCTCTGTGCGTCGCTCGTTGACTTCGCACCTGCTGGAGGTGTACCCGAGCAGCTGAGATCTGCTCTAGGGAAGAGTCTCTGGGCACCACGCCTAACTCCTTACAGTGCTCCCGACAACAGGGGTGTAGCAAGAGAGTAGGCTGCACGACAAATCCATCACGACACGACCTGTAATAAGCTGTGGTGATCTCCGCTTGAAAAAAGGAGCCCACAGCGTCTGGCGTCCTGGGAACCGTCCGCGTGTAGTACAGCAGCAGCTGCGGCGGTGGTCCCCAGGTCGCGTTTGGTGAGCCAGTTCTGGAGGTGCTAGGCCTATCTGCAGATATCAGCGCCCGATGTCATTATCCTTCGATGTGACCCGACATCACCGTGTGTAACGGCAGCGCGGATGGCAGAAGGAGTAGCCCTGGGGCGTGGTCGATTCCACCCTCTGATGTGACTCAGCTGCTGCCAGGGCTCGTGGGCCATCTGAAGGGGGCTTCACGAACCACCCCGAGGAAATGCGCTGCTTTCACTCCTCGTCTCGACTTTGGGCTTGGGTTCGGCAGCACTTTCCAAAGTGTCACACAACGACCGCAGAGCTGCAACAGCGGCCTCGTGCAGGGCACGTGTCTGTGTTAGACCAGTGGCCCTTACGGTCATCAAGACACAGTGCGTCGGCGGCCAGGCATATCTTGGGGCCATGCTGCTTTCCCGCCTGCCACAAGGAAGCACTAGGCGGAGGCGTGGAAGAACGTGCGGCAGCCTTCACGTTGTTGGCGCCTTCTTACCCTTCTTGTACTGTGAGATCGCTCTCACAGCAGGTGGGGCCCGTGAGGAAGGGTGGCGGACTTGGTGGCCTCGTATGACCGACATTCAGTCACTACCACCTGGGAGTGTGGAGGAAGCGTCAGGGAAATGTCGCCACCAACTCTTCTTGCCCTGACACCTGTCAAAATCCTGTGCTTGATCCAGGCTTCCTCACATTCCCGGCTGTCGTCTTGCAGGCGTCGATCTCATCTGACAAACTCTTCAAGCGTACAAAAAAGTCGTCAAAAGATTCATTCACCGCCTGCTTGCAGCTGGTGGAAAGGCAACGACGCAAAGCATCGTTATTCCGACCTTTAACATGCTCCTGTAAGGTCGAGCACAAATCACTGAAGGCGGCAGTCGGGAGGCACTTGCAGCGTGTGCTCCAAAAGCTCTCTGGTCTCCAGCACAAAACACTTCGCAGTTGGATGAGTTGTTTGCTTGAGGCATGCTGTCAGGTCCACCATCATTGGAGTAATCTGTCCACGCATCCTCCACTCACGAAAAAAAGCTGAAATGTGGCGTCTGGTGGAGGCGGGTGGGGGTTGAACAGATGCCTTGGGGGCTGTTGGGTAGCAAGAGTGTCTGGAGGGCGCTGGTGTGGTGGAGGAGGAGGAGTGTGCGCCTTGGTGCGCAATACCTCAGTGAGGAGGTGGAGTTAAGCGCGGGGTCATATGTGCATCAAGGCCTTTCCTCCTCTCTTCGTATCTCCTCCCTCTGAAGTTCCATCTCTGCATCTCGTCCCTGTCGTCCATCACCTCAGGAATTGTGGCAATGTCCGTCGCTGTAGGTCAGGATGAGGGGCGGTGACACCGAAAGCTCCATCTGTGCCAGTAGAGAAAGGGGGAGTCGTGTCTCCCCATCTTGGCGTTGTCCTTCTTACCGCATCTTAGTATGCTTGAACTCGCTGTTTAGTATATAAAGTGGCGCCTCATCAGCTCGAACCACGTATATATAGCATAAACAAGCGCGAAATACCTATTAGGTCCACTGTTCTGTCCGTAAGTGAGTGCATGCGTGCGTGAGTGTGTGTGTGTGTGTGTGTGTGTGTGTGTGTGTGTGTGTGTGTGTGTCTGTCTGGGACGCATAATGCGGATGGCTAGAGCCCGCAGGCGGAAGCGTTAGTGTCTCCCGGATGTCACCACGAGGAGGTGCTGCGCCCTGCGTGCTCATGGGGTACGACAAACAGGCCAATGCTCAACTCTGAGCTCTAGACCACTAATACACTAACACTAACACTACACCGTCACTAAAACGCACTGTGATGAGGCGCAACTTACTGCGCGTCGCGGCGAAACACACATAACACAACACAACACTAGTCGGCCGCGCACATCGCGGCAGGCGTAACCGTCGGCATTGTTCACAACACTTGTAAGTCCACAGATCCTACTCACTGCGCCATGAGGTTCCAAGTGTTCCCTGAAGAAGGCAGTGATAGATGCGGAAACACTGGGTAACACTGAAGTCCATTTATTAACGTATGGGAGAAATACAAAGTAGTGACTAGCGTGTCCATGCACCCACAAGAGTCAGACTAAGAGACTGCCTTGCCATATGGCAAGCCTCGAGGGCAATGCCACATAACACGTGCAGTGTTGCCACGTAATTATATATAAATGCTACTCGGCACAGTAGCTTATTTACAAGGTTGCTACTCGGCACAGAAGCATAGATACATAACCTACAATCACTGCATATAACATCATTATATAACACCATCCATCATCACTACAGATCGGTAAAAGTATTTTCGAGATTCTCGTGTGGACACAAACAAACAGACTTCATTATTATATATATATATATATATATATATATATATATATATATATATATATATATATATATATATATATATATATATATATATATATATATATATATATATATGCTGATAACCACAAGAAGAAGAAAACACGAAGTTCCCAGCGCTTTCGTGTATTCACATCTTCAGGGGTGGGTACAGACTAGGAGAAGTACAAAACTAGGTGTATATGTACAGAGAGGATGAGATCAGTCCACAATGGTCAGGTATTAGGTAATGACCTACTAATCCTTAAATAGCACCCACCCGGTCAAGTCAGTCAAGGTGGTGACCCAACCTTCTCACCTGATTACAATCTTCTTAATTACAAAATTGTCAAGTTGTACTGCCATTACTCAAATTCATGTTGAATGTTCACTATAGTTTAATGAGACTAGAATGCTATGATGTTCCTACTGTCAATTGAATTACAAGGTAATATGAGAAATTATCCCAGTCAATGCAATACTTGTTATCCTCAAATGAACAAACAGGCATTGGATTCTAACCTGTCCTAACACTATATATATGTTGTTTAAGTCTAGTTATAAGATCTTTGCCTGTCTGGTATAAGTAAACATTCTTTGCAAGAACTTTATAAATGCAACCAATTGTGTTGTTGGGGGTTCTTGATTAACATTGTTTAACAGTACATGAGTTTTTCACCACAGTACATTCAGGTTTTAGTTGTAAAGGAATTTGTGAAATTTTTGTAAATGGCAATACTAAAAATTCTTATGGTCATGGGTGGGCCTGGGATCAGTTCATACGATTTCTTAGTAATGTTCAGGCATTTGTCTATAGAAAAATCTAGATTATTGAGGTTTGAGCCAATATTATGATATATATATATATTCCTCATCAATGAATTCGGACTGCAAATTCTCAAAGCACGCAAAAAGCATTGTTAATACTGACTGTTTGACTCTATTATGGTGGTTTACTTTCATATATATGTATATATATATATATATATATATATATATATATATATATATATATATATATATATATATGTATATATAACCTCACCCCATAGGACTCAATCCACGATCTTATGTTTTGTGACGAGGAACGTTACCTCTACACACCAGGACACTTTAGGGACTACCCTTGCCTCTTAGGTGATCAGGTAACGTTTTACCAATCCGGCTTCGAAACACAAGGTTCCATATATATGTAGAAGTCCACGCGCTATGGGCTGAAAAAAAAAAAAAAAAAAAATATATATATATATATATACTGTGTATATATGTATATATATATATATATATATATATATATATATATATATATATATATATATATATATATATATACATATATATATATATATATATATATATATATATATATATATATATATATATATATATATATATATATATATATATATATATATATATATATATATATATATATATATGTATATATGTGTGTGTGTACAGGTCAGGTACTGGACTTTAATTTTTCACTTGATTTGGGGTTTATTAAAGATTTTTAGATGGTAATTGCAGTGGAAGTGCCCACTAAATGAAATCCCGAACCAGCATAAGAGCACTTAACTTTACTAAACAAAATGAATTGTCCGTGACCCGTGGAGGATAGCGTCTGTGACTGGGATGATTGAGACACACTATAAAATTTACTCCCTGCAACACTACAAACACAATCAAAAAGTGGTACACCAATATGCTCACCTCTGAACCTGAACTTAAAATACTACTCTGGCGAATAAAGTTACACGATGTTGAAATTATTAGAACCTCCAGGCAATGCCTCATTAGAAGATAATAAGTTTAAAGTATAAAAATGTTGGCACACATGAACCAGGCTTTAAGGGCTTTACCAAAAATATCATCCACTGAGAAAATGGTATAAAAAAATAAAAAATTAATAACTCTACAATGAATAGGCCTTCAGGGCACTCACCAATTATATCAGCACTAGAAAATGGTATAAAAATCAGGCTTATTAACTCCACCCTGTATAGGCCTTCAGAGTGCTCAACAAAATTATATTACCCCAACAGATACACACCTCCTGGCTAGCAAACACTACTCAGGGGAACAAGGTTATGCAGGAGATTGAGATTATAAAGAAATATTAAATGCCACACAGCATACATTAGTAACTGAAAAAAAATAGTATTAATACAACAACACAACATTGTCACTATTATTAAGAGTTATAAAGTTCCACCATACCCCTTGACCATGCTCCCTAACCTAACACACACACAATTCACCTGCACTCCGTAGTCGTTTAGGCACCCCGGCACCCGTAGTTTAAGGCCCGAATCAGCCTTTCTCCACCTTGGAAAGTGC